AATTATTGAAACCAAAGAGAAAGGTTTCACGAAACTGAAACTTTTAAATCATTTAAGGGAGTGGGTGTTAAATTACACAGTTTAATTTTGGGTAGAGAAACATGAATTAGTTTGTAGTGTGTGTGTTGGGGGGGGGGGGTTAAGAATAAAAATCTAAAATAAACGGCGAGGCACATTTCAAGAAACTTGTCTGTATGTATATGTTTACACTATACTGTATATATTTATTTGATCAACACACTTCATAAATGCCCAAAATGTACATAGCATATCTTTAGAAAATAATCAGTAAATATGAACAGTCTGATTAAAACCAGCCCCCCCCCCCCCCTTTCTCCTATCGTTGTCGATATGTAAATATGAGATACTTATTAAATCTATTTTTCTATATCATATTAATGCACAACACTTGCTGTTTGTTCAAACTTTCAAATTCTGGAGTAATTCTGATGTTGTATTGAATGAATGGAAAATTTTGTATAAAATAATTTGCTACTTCTAGAATGGACAAATTATTTTATAGTTTGCGATGTATTTCAAGTTTTACGAAGCAGAGTCCTATTCATTATGAATGCAAAATTTGGCATGTCCAGGTATACAATACAGGTAAATCACATCTAATCTATTGTTGTGCAGAGGTATGTGTATATGTATTACATAACACTTCCTGTCTGTGTCAGTGCCAAGGTTGTGCGTACTACCAGGGACCTATATACTATATACTTAGTATATAGGTCCCTGGTACTACAAACTCGAATCTAGCCCGGGGGCACATAGAACCTTCTGTTCCAATTATATTTCATCAGTGTAAATTAAATTCCAAAATCGAATGTTGCATATTTGCACATGCTGTAACTTCCTCTGAGCTATTAATAACGTTTTTTGCCTGTAATTGAAGGTAAATAAATTTTAAAAAAAACGTAAATTCAGGGAGGGGTATCACATGCATGAAGATAATGTGTGATGCCCAGAGCATGGGAAGGCAGTCACTAGGGTAACCGTCACTAGAAAACAATCAACTAATGAAAACTTAAACTAACTTTGAATCAGTTTTGATTTTTTGAAGTATCAGTTGATTATAGACCGAAAATTAATTAAATTTTCAAATCAAAATAGGGAGAAGCTTGCTATTTACGTATAAACATGTATCTAAAGTAAATTAAAGTTTGAATGATAATATTTATAAACAGGATAGATATTTTTTAAAAGATATTTTACATCCGAATCATAGTTTGTTTGTAATACCTGTATAAATACCGTACAAAGCGCACTAGATTAGAAGTCATGAAAAAGTCTAGTACATGTTGTACGTTCATACGTACTTTTTCAAGTTTAAAATTTTCAAGGAAACTTGAATTACGAATAAGGAATACAGAAAAAATATCCATTCCTTTGAAGATTTTATTCTGAGCGCCTTTTTTTTTTTAATATTGCGACTATTTTACGTATTTAAAATGGTTAAATGAAGGAAAAGTTGTTTTCATTTGACAATTAAATCATTGAGTTATCGGATGATCAATAACTGTGATCTACAAAACTAATGCATAGGAATAATTACGGATAAGTTAAGAACAATAAATGAACACGCAATATATAAATGTATATACATGTATATATATATTTAGTTGTCTCCATATCATGCATTCTTCCTTTCCTTTTCTTTTTTTTTATTTTTGAAAGAGGCGTGAAATAAAAAGATAAATTAATCAAATATAAAAAGGAGACCTAAATAACTGCTAAGACTGGTTTTATCCTTTTAATTTTTTTTACTTCTCTGTTGTGTTTTTTTTTTTTCGTCGGGGGAGGTAACTCGCGTTTATGAAGAGAATAATTTTTTCACCTGAGACGGATAACGCAAACCGCGATGGTTTGGATTAGTTGAGAACGCGTACCGCGAGAACACGCGGTTTTACCTGAGTTACCTGTGTAAAACCGCGATCAATTTCACACCGCGAGGACTCGCGGTAAATACGGAAACCGCGTTGACTGTAGTGTAGGTACGGAAAGCAGTTGTCACCATAGTTTATTAACTTTCGCTGAGTGAAATTTTTTGTGTTCTCAGTTTCAAATCAAGTTAGGTTCAGTTTATTTGATTCCCCCCCCCCCTTTATACAACAAATATAAGTTTTTGAGGGTACATTTTTTTTATGTCACTGTCAAAGCCCAAATTAGAAATTTTTTTAAGGAGACAAGCATCTCATAGACAAGGAAGTCTTTATTACACGCCCATTCTTTTATCAGATAGCAAGGGCTTTGCACTCAAAAGAAAGATAGAACTAAAGTTTGTTGAATTTTGGTGTGAACCATGCTGGCGTACAGCGCCTGCAGTAGATTTTCTTGAAAATCATTTGAAGACTAATAGCAGTAAAAGGTATTTAATCTATATTTGGTTAGGTACTTGTGACATATCTGTTAAAGAAGGCAAGTTCTTAAGAGTTAGGTCTTGGGACAATACTGTTGTTGATGACATATTGTCTCAGTTTCATCGAGTTGTTGCAATAGGTAAACAGTATCCAAACATAAAAGTCAAAGAACAAGGTACGGTTTCAATACAAATCTTGCCCTGTGTTTTTCTTAGAAATTAAAGTGATGTAAAAAATTAAAAGTCATGCATTCTGAATCATTGAAATTCCATGAAGAAAGATCCTACAAATCATTTTTCTCACATGACTTTTTAAATGCTTATTGTGACATCATAAACTTATGCATTTCCCCGTATTTCTTAAAAAGTTGCAGAAGACGCCAATTTTCAATGGAATTTTCTTTCAGATAATATTGTCCACAGGCATCGCCCACAAAGATTTTGAGATAGGTGATTTTTCAAAGAATTTTACACAACATATCCGAAAATTAAAATGGCGATGGCTGTGGACATTATTTTCTTATGGAAAATAACCCTTGAATTTGGTCATTTTGAGGCTTTATCCGTTTAAAATAGAGAAATGTATCAAATTTATGACGTCATATTTCTAGAATGGTACTCCTTCATGCCATATCCTTTCTTGATTTATCACAGTCATACTCAACTAATATTTAAGCCTGTTTCATAACTTTTTGATAACATTAAATTTTTAGGGCACAATAAAGCTAAAACTGTACCTTCTTCTTTATTGAGGTAGTTCAATCTGACCCAGATTCATTCAAGGTGCATGATATAGAAATTTGCAGGCAGGTGGAACAGCTAAATTGTGCAATCAGAGAAATTAATTCTAGCAATAACGAAAGAACTCTACTTTTTAATTGCGACCTAAAGAGACGTCGTAAGGATACAAAAAGAAGAAAGGCGGTTCACCAAGAGTACGAGTATCCTATAAATTTGCTTCATACTATGATGGCATTCATGCAGATACATATTTAGCACTTATCTGGACAAAACGTTTAACAGATGACATAACTTTGCACTGTTTCAGAACTCTAGATGAAGATATTTTAGACATTCTTGTGCCAGAAGAAGAGTTAAGCTCTCTGTGAACCTTTGTAGAACTGAATTACAAATATGACGAACATAAATACTGCCTCCATAGATGACCTCCTATCCCTGGAAGGCATCGGCGCCCAACGAGCAGCGGCCATCATTAAACTAAGAGATGAAAAGGGTTATATCACCATGAATGATATTGAAGAAAACTTGCATAACACTGCATCCGCAATACAGAAATTGTTGTATGCAGAACAGATCTCTTTTGAAATCCCACCTACACTTGTGGAATCTATCAAGGAGAGACAAGATGGAGAACATAAACGGGCTTTGGACAATGTGGCAAAGGACTTTGGTGTGAAACTTGATCAAGTTCATGAGCACTACAGAACTATACAGAGAAATTATGAAGAAGAGATGAACAGGATGACTAAAATGATGGGAAACTTGGAAAGAAATCTGTTAGAGAAAAAGTCAGAATCACTAGTCACTGGAGAAATTGTTGATAAACTAGCACTACATGGTATCTATGGTATCAAAGATGATGGCCAAAAAAGTTTAAAGCTTGAGAAAAGTACTCTAGGAACAGAAGCCAGTGGGGGAGTATCAAGTTGTGTTTCTGCTGACTGTGGCTTGGCTAAGCCTGACCCAACTAGCAGTTTAACACAAACTAAAGCTGGGAAAATAACTTCTACAAGTGGGGCTAATAGTGGCTTGAAACAATCTGACCCGTTTAACACTCACATTGACGGACCTCCCCCTCCTAAGATGGCTACATTTGATGGACGCAGTGATTGGTGCCCATTCAAAACCAAGTTTGATAGGATTGCAGACAGATATAAATGGTCTGAGGATCAACGCTTGGAGAGACTTATTGAGTCCTTAAGAGATAAAGCACTTAAATTCTATTGCACCTGTGCCAAACCAGTCCAAAATAACTACAAGGACCTATGCAAGAAATTCAAGTCTAGATTCGGTCAAAAGGATTTGCCCTTAACTGTAAAGAGAAAACTTCAAGACATCAAACAAGATAATAAAACAGTTGAGGAATTTGCAGAACTAGTGCAAGAAATAGTTACCGAGGGATATCCGGATGCTCCAGAAAGTGTTATAGATAACATTGCCACTGATACCTTCCTCAAAGGTTTTGAAAACAAGCGTGCAGCATTAACAGCTATGGATAAAGACCCAACAACTTTAGAAAGAGCATCTTACAACTGTTGATGGAGTTCTTTACTACATCTGGGTTGATGATGATACAACATCTAAGACACCCCTGCTGCTTGTTCCAAAAGCGCTAAGAGAAACGGTGCTCGCAGGCTGTCATGATTCCAAATGCGCAAGTCACCATGGACAGCAGACGTTGCAGAGACTTCGCTCTAAATATATTTAGTATGGTATATCCCAAGACTGCAAAAATGACGTCCAGTCTTGCAGGGAATGCAGTACAAGTAAAAAGCCTCATATTCAACCAAAAGCTCCTCTTGACCAGTACCATGCAGGCATCCCTATGGAAAGAATACATACAGATATTCTAGGGCCTTTCGTAGAATCAGCTAGAGGGAATCGCTGCATTGTAATGATGACTGACCAGTTTACAAAGTGGCTAGAATGCTATGCCATTCCTATCCAAGGAGCAGAACAAGTAGCTCTGTCACTAGTTGAAGGATTTATTGCACGAATGGGATGCCCTCTTCAGATCCACTCGGACCAAGGAAGGAACTTCATCAGTGACTTATTCCAACGACTCTGTAAAATTCTAGAGATCACAAAAACACGCACAACTCCATACAGACCATGTGCAAATGGCCAAGTAGAGCGGTACAATAGAACTATGTTGCAGTCAATCCGTTGCTATCTAAAGAATGTGCGTTTCCATCGACATTGGGATCGACATTTGCAGCTCATTGCTGGTGCTATAAGGGCCACAGTAAACAGACAAACTGGATTTACAGGCCCGTAGGAAGCAATTTCAGTTTGGGGGGGCACAGCCAAACATTTTCAGTTTGAGGGGGCACTATCAACTACCAAGCAAAAAAGAAAAAAAAAAAGGTCATCAGGCGTTTTGATTGAAGGGGCACAAACATATAGTATCTATGTTTTCTGTAGTAATCTATATATCGGCAAAATTATTGGAGGGCACGCCCCCCCCCCCCCCCGGTTCCTACGGCCATGATTTACCGCCAACAAAATGATGCTACGGAGAGAGATTCTACAACCTGTAGACATCATGATGGGTATGGGTGAAAACCAGCAGCCTCGAGTACCATCCGACTATGTTGAGGAGCTAGAAGAAGTGATGTCACAGGTCCACACAATTGCCAGAGAAAATCTACATAATGCACAAATGCGTCAACCCTGGAAAAACGGACCTATGATTTGCGGCTTTACAACCACACATATGATGTTGGAGACTTAGTCTACATAATAGATTCATCAACAAAAATAGGACAATCCAAAAAGCTACAAAAACCTTGGATTGGTCCATTTGTTGTGACTGAGAAGATGTCCCCAGTCCCTTATCCCACACTGCTTGAAAAAAACACCTTTACAAAACTTTACTTGCAAAGTAAATCTCCTTAAAGGTGCTCCAAAAAGCAAGGTCATCTTTGTATCAACTTTACAAAAAGTAAAGGTGAAAAGGTAACCTTTACTTAAAAGAAAAGGTTATTAAATTTAACCTTTCACCTTTAATGCTGCATTAAAGTTGATGTACCTTACCTACTGAAAATTTTTCAAGATATTCTAAATTTAAGATTTAATGCCATCAGATGTTCATAGACAAAAAATCAGCATGCATTACCAGGGGTTTTGAAAAGATATCAATTGATGAAAATTCTTGTATAATTTAAAGAAAAATATACAAAAATTACTGAACATATATTCTAGATGTTTTGTTTATCAAAACTTGTTTTAGAAGAAGTGTACAACAGTATATATAGACATTAAAATGTAGAACACAGTTCCTTTAAGTATTGGAACTCTTCAACTCCAGGGAAAAAGACAATAAATTTCAAACTACGTTGCGTATGTCCTTAAATCCTTATTTAGATACTGGCCTTTGTTTAATACACTCGTACTTAAGATTTCAACAAATGGTTTTTGACTTTTAAAATAAATAGGTATCTGATGTGTCTTTTTTGTTACCCCCACCCCATTTTTGTTAAACTCGATCTTACTAAAAATACACAAATTTTCAAGCATTATATCAATTTCCAGTTGTATTTAGTATTAGAGATTGTCATCTACAAAATATAAAAATTTATACTATTTTTGTATACTGTAGATGGACAATCAAAAATGTAGAAATGGTATCAGATATCAAAATATAGATATAATAAACTTTAAAATTCCCTATGACTTAACCTTTAACTTATCGGATTTGCTGATATCTGATAGATGGAGAACTCTTTTTTATTTGCTTTTTGTGTAGATGTATTGAAACCTTTTCCGTTATAATTTCTGCTTCATAAATATCTACCAAAAACAGTTACAAACATTACAAGATTACATCTTTTACTTGAAAAGGCAATAAAATGACAAAGAATAAAATTAAAAAAGGTTAAAATACAATACAATATTATTTATCCTTTATGGTGCATGTACATGTGTTAAAACTTTGCAGTTTAATTGGAACTAAAAAGATCACTGACGAGAAACTACACAACATAAAGCAGGCAAAGTACTAGTATTTCCAACTTAAACTATTAAAGGCTATCTAATGAATATTTATGTACAGGTTAATAATGTTGACATCTTGTAAGCATAATGGTGCAATTTACATATTCACAAAATAAAGAAACAAAATTGTTTAAACACCTATTAGAATATAGGTTCAGATGTAGTTTTGCAAGATGTGTAAGTAAATGCATGTGTCCAGCTTCACGCAGTGAGCCTGTTTGAGCTTGACTTTATACTTTGGACTAAATGTTACGTGTATTGCGTCTGTGGTAGAAGATTATGTTTGCATACGTGTCCATCTTCACACGCCGCGGAAAATATATAACTGGTTGTGGTAGATGCTTGAGTGTTTGCATATGTGTCTAGCTTCACACATTTTCATGTATGTGCTCGACTTCACACGCCTTGGAAAATATGTAATTGGTTGTGATAGATGCTTGTGTGTTTGCATATGTGTCCAGCTTCACACATTTTCATGTATGTGCTCGACTTCACACGCCTTGGAAAATATGTAATTGGTTGTGATAGATGCTTGTGTGTTTGCACATGTGTCCAGCTTAACACATTTTCATGTATGTGCTCGACTTCCAACGCCCTGGAAAATATGTTACTGTGGTTGTGGTAAATGCTGGAGTGTATGCATACGTGTCATGCTTCGCACAGAGAGAAAAGTTTTGTGTGCTCTTTTCTAGAAGATAATGATTATTTAAATATACTCCAAATACATCCTCTAAAGAAATGGATAATCATAACGAGTTACATACTTAGTTCCTCAGTTCACAATATACACAATTTTACTGAAAATTAAACTTGTGCAAAAACTCTCTTGCTGAATAACTTTCATTATTATAAATGCTTGAATGTTCATCTATATATTTTCAGATATTTTCTAGTCAATGTATATATTCTTGATCATGATGGCATCCATATTTGATTCCCCTCTCTGTCATCTTTTCTTGGTCACCAATTAATTCAACAGTAGGCTGGGTACTCAGATCTCTCAGGTGGTGGACAAAAGGAGTGCTAATAATAAACATAATCTTTGAAATTATAGAGAATAACATCCATTTCTTTTCCAGGTTTGCATTAGTTATCTTTTGAAATTAAAGCACTTCTGCAATAACCTTGAAAACTTGCCAAGATATGTTAAATGTTTGTAGCATGCTTTAAATACTTTAATTTTATTTTTGGAAGTTTAGAATAATAGAAAAACAAGTTCAAATATAAAAATAAAATGTAAAAGATCTTAATAATGAAGATTCATTTACACAATGTGATAACACATTGAAGTCAATTCCTCACCTGACTCTCATAATTTATCTTCATAATGGAGTTGATTCTATGATGATCACTTTCAATCATTTAAAAGAACTTCTTCATCTCAGACTGTCTGAAGGTCATCCATCTACCCAACTGCCACTCACCTAAAGTGTACCGAAAGTTTTGACCTGTATAATATCAAAATTCAAGATTAAAATTTAAAAAAATCTCTTCACCACACTGGTCTCTTTAAAAAATGTGAAAAAATAATTTAAATACTTTCCTGAAGATGAAATAATGTCAGTAGTGAGTATCTAACAATGTTTAAAAATATTTTGATCCCTGTACAGTGATAATGTATGAAAAAGTCATGTCCCTTGTATTTGAAAAAAAATTCCATTCTTAAGGACATTACCCAACATGGAAATAATGCACATTTGTCTCTGGCACAACCAAACCACCACAAGAGACCTTTCCATACTTAGCACCATGCATTAGCTCTCCGCTCTTTGTTTCTACAAAAGATAAATTATGAAAAGGTAATCTTTTGACAGCTAAGTCGGATTAATTATTTTCCAGTCAGTGATGAACAGAATATTTGATTTCTTTAATAATGAGGGACAGATTATTCATGTTTATCTTAAATGAACAAAGTTTGACACCCCCCCCCCCCGCCACTACAAAAGGAAAAAATAAACTGACTCAGAAACTCTTATTTCAATGAGGTAAAGGGAATAATGGCATCAGACAAGGAAAGATTATTAATCATTTTTTCAGTTGAGATGAGATTATATCTTTTAAACATTTTTGAAGTTAATATATTTTTACCCCCCCCCCCCCGCATCAAACAAAAAATAGTCGCCCCTTTATTTAGCTGTCCTAAATCTATAACAAAATTTTATTGTGATTTTTTTCAATTTTAATTTGTTATATCCTGACACTGATACCACCACTATATAGTAGATGCAACAAACTAAGAGGTGACCCCTCCTCTTCCGGTAACGGGATGTTTCGCACCTAAGCATGGTTCGCGCTGCGATGTTTCGCACCCATTCCGTTTCGCGCTGAGATGGTTCGCCCCACATTGTTGTACAAATATGTGCTAGCCTACTGAAGTTCATTTAACAAAATTTTAGATTTTAAACATGTTATATGGTGGAAATTTTGATATTTTTTGAAACATTTTTTTTTTAATTCAAGAAGATTATATTTGTAGTAGAGAGATAATTATTTATGTCTGTGTTTGAAGTATACATAGCATGTATAATTATGTACCTAAATCGGCGCGAATCATCCAGGCGCGAACCATCTCAGTGCGAAACAGAATCGGCGCGAAACATCCCGGATTCCTTCTTCCCTCCCTCCCCTAGATGTTTCGTCTAAATGTTAAACGACTGTTGTTCAATATCTTGAAAGACAGAAAACAGTTATACACAACTAATAAGCACATTTTCATTACCTTGCAGTCAGTGTCGAGTGACACAAGTAAACAACATCCCGCAATCTCTTTGTTTATTCTTGGCGGAATTTTGTTGCCTCTTAGACTGGTTCCCATACATTGCAAATGCCCTGAATAAGTCATACGCTTATTAGTTTTGTTTATAAGAGGTAATATCAGTAATATGTCCCGTTCATTTGACAACCTTTACTTTAAAATACTGAAATATATTTTATCATATATACGGATGTTTTCCACCTCAGTATTATGTAATCCTCTTCATCCAAGTCTTCTCGAATACAAAACGAACGATCTACTTTTAACAGTAACCCAAATATGGCACTGTGTATTCGAATGAATAGCCAATCATTTCAAATCAAGTTGAGCGGGTCTCATCGGTATTTTATGGTATTTTTGACGAAAATATGCAACCAGTGATCAGTTGAATTGATACCTTTTCATCTACCAGAAGATTTAAGGAGGTTATTGTTTGGAAAACTGTTCGAGCTCCCGGGCTTGCATGCACTGCAGGTTTATTTACGTTTTCCATCTGTTTTCAGCATACATTGTGAAACATTGAAACT